GCAAGGGAGCTAAAGCCGAACCAGCCTTAGGATATGAGGCTTTCCATCGTGATCTAAGAGGGCACCGGTAAACGCCCGAGCGTGTCATGAACCCATCGTGAGGTAGGTCCCACCTCACACCCCATAATTTTCTCTCATTAGTTGGTACCTGCCCGCACATGCACCTCACACACTATGGTTCTTGAGAGAGTGATCTCGAGCTGGACCCACCCATCCGGTCCCTGCATGATCTTACGACCCAATGAGATCGAGGCCCAACCAAAGAGTGCATGGTTTCTGACATGGTGACTATTGATTGATCATTATCCTCAACTATTGTCAAGGCTCTGACATTTTCCATGATGTTTAAGCAAGTCTTCCATCTGCACTGCTTTGTTAATCATTTTGGCGAATGTGGAGGGACATATTGCATTGAATGCATTGACAATTCTTGGTGTATTCTTTCTACGCAGTATTCCACTTCTTGAAGTTCGCTCACTGGACTGGCCAAATTGATGGCCAGATTGCGCCACCTTTTGATGTACTCAATCACTAGCTCATGTTGCTTTTGCCTTACATCAAGAGGTTCATGAAGCTGCATATTCCTTTCTATGTTATAGAAGCGCTTGGGGAACTCTCTCTCCATTTGTTCTCGTGATGAAATCGATCCCGGTGGTATTCGAGAGTACCACTTGAATGCAGCTCCTGTAAGGGTCCCTACAAATTGTCGAAGCAATAAATGCTTGTTCTTTGCAAAATTTCCACAAGCAGAAACAAAGTTGGCCCTGTGGGAATGGAGTTTGGTGGTAGTGCCATCATACTTAGGGAAGTCGAGCCTTTGGTAGCCTTGTGGAAATGGAGTTTGGTCAATATAAGATGGGTAAGGTTTTTAATAGTGATTCAACTCTTATATCGTTGGGATATTATATCTCTTCAATGCTTCGACTACCATGCCTTTCACAAGTTAATTCACAACCTGAAGCGATCGAGAAGAGACTGGGAGTGAGGGAGGTGTGGATGGGGCGAACTCTTCTTTTGATGACATCATTTCAATGTGCTGACATGGTGGTCGAGAGGTGGTAAAGAGGGTTTGGTGTGCCGAGGGATTATACTCAACCTCATGGGATATCAATATCTCTTGACGCATAGTTTCCATCTTTCATCCTTTGACCTCATCTCGGCTTGCAATTGCCTTAAGGTGGCCTTAAGTTGCGCAACTTGTCTCCATATAATTGTAACATTTTATCGATCACCATGGTATTGACAGCAGCCATGCTTGAAGGTTCTTCTCCCTTTGAAGGGCTGAGTCGCTCATCACTGGAGAGCGAAGGGACAATTAAGGTTTTGGCGCTGATTGCTTCAAAACCTTCTTCTTCATTTGGGGTGATACACTCCAACAGAGTTTGCTCATGAAATGCCTCTTGTTTGATGAAGTTTTCGATCATGGGTTCGATTGTTGTCGTTTCAATAACATCATTGATGATGGCTATTGGGCTTTCCCTCGGGCCCACTTCATTTTTCAAGGCAGGGATATCCTCGTCATCAAATAAGAATGTGAAATTCTCATAGGACAATGATGTCACATCATCATCGAGAGAAGATAAGAAGCTTTCGAGACATGGAGAGAACATGCAATAGTCATCATAGGGAACCATGGCACCTTCAGAGCATGGTGAAGCCACTTTAGGGTGGTTGTAAGTAGAGGGAATGCATCTCATCCCATTCACTGTTAGGGGGTGGTTTTAAAAAATGAGGGTGTGCAACTCTCATAACCCTCTCTCTCTCTCTC